ATTGAGCTCATGGGCATAAAGGACAGACACAAAGTATACTTGGCTGACTTGAAAACCCATGAATGCTGGGGTTGGACTACTTACTACTGAGGAAGTTTGTAATTAATTTTGATAAAATGACTTTTGGGGAAAGCAAAGGCTAAATTCCGGAAGTGTTAAAAGAAAGGTTGGCCTAACTGGGTTCCATCAAGCTGAAGTCAATGTGACTGAAGGAGTTGATGATGGTGAAATGGAACCAGGTATAGATATTAAAGCAGAGCAGGAAAAAGACCAAGATTTGAAACCAATAATTGATTTTCTAAAAGAAAGTGTTTTGTGCCCTGCTTGGGAGAAGGTGTCTAGCTTAAGCCCTGTGACAAAGAACTATTGGGCACAATGAGACCAGTTGAAGCTTGAAGACAGTAGTCTTGTCCACAGATAGGAAACTGCAGATGGGAAAGTGACGACCTGGCAACTCTTCAAAAGGTGGGCATCCTGTTATCAGATCCACTGGCAACCGAAGTTACCGACCAAACATCAGCTTTGCTGAAGTTTATCCAGTGGCTTCATGCTCTGCTGTTCTATAGGCCATTAACAGTGGAGGGAGTAAGACATCACAGTCATCTTGGCGACTATTACAAATCTTTGCCAATTCCTGTCCCAGTGTCCATTTGTGTGTGAAGTGGCATTGTCCTGGTCTTTCGTATGCCAAACAACTTGCAGCATTCATGGAACACAGCTGATACAAAGTTACAGCCTTGATCTGAATGCAGTTCATATGGCATACCAAATCTAAAGAAGAAATCACTAATGGCCAAAGCTACAGTTTTAGCTTCCTGATTTGTATTGCACATGCCTCAGGCCACTTGGTGAAATAATCCATCACCACACAAATGTACTTGTTTCCAGCACGAGTTTTGGGCAGAGGACCAGCAGTGTCAACGGCTACTCTTTCCATTGGTGCACCAACTTGATATAACTTCATTGAAGCACGTCCCTTATGTTTGGGTCCCCTTTTAGCACAACATGTATTGCAGGTCCTGCACCATTCTTCCACATTTTGCCTCATACCTATCCAGTAAAATCTCTGCTGCAAGTGACTCAATGTCTTTTTAACTCCGAGATGTCTTCCTGTTAAACTATCATGAGACTGATGCAGCGCTACTTCCTGTAACTTTTTCGGTATAACTGTTTACCAGGTCGTCACTTTCCTAGCTGCAGTTTTCCATCTACAGACAAGACTACCGTCTTCAAGCTTCAACTGGTCCCATTGTGCCCAATAGTTCTTTGTCACATGGCTTAAGCTAGACACCTTCTCCCAAGCATGGCACAAAACACTTGCTTTTAGAAAATCAATTATTGGCTTCAAATCTTGGTCTTTTTCCTGCTCTGATTTAATATCTATACTTGGTTCTACTTCACCATCATCAACTCCTTCAGTCACTTTGACTTCAGCTTGATGACACCTGGTTAGTTCAACCTTTCTTTTTGCAGCAATGTCTGCAGTAATTTTTGCGGGGTCTTCGGCTCAGTCCATTGGCATTTCCATGAAATTTTCCTTCTCTGTATTCAATATCATAATTATACAGGTTTATCTTTCCGATCCAACATACCAGCTGTCCCTCTGGGTTTTTAATGATCTTAACCAGCATAATGCAACATGGTCTGTCCTGATGGTAAATCTGGAGCAATAGAGGTAAAGATGGAAATATGTCAGACTCTTTACTATAGCAAGGAGTTCCCTCCATGTTACACAGTATTTCCTCTCTGGTCTACTCAGGACCCTACTGAAGTAGGGTACAACACATGTTCGTTTTCGCCCACTTTCTGAGACGGTTCTCCTCCAATTCCGACATTACTAGCATCACAATCCAGTATGTACGGCAGTGAGAGATTTGGAAGCTTTAAAAGTGGAGCTGAGGCCAATTTTTCTTTCAATGTCTTGAAAGCATGTTGGCAAGAAATTGTCCATTCGAACTTCTGGCCTTTTTTTGTCAAATCATGTTGTGGAACAGCTATAGTTGCAAAGTCCTTCATGCCTATGAGCTCAATAGTTACACACACTGGTTCCCACAACCTTGCATAATGTCCTGTCACACTACAGAGCTTCTGTATGGCTTCTAGTACTCCTTTGTGATCTAGCATCTTCATACTCACAAGGGTTTGCTGAGATGTAGAATCTATGACGAAGTTGCACTTTTGGCCATCCAGCTTTCCTGTCACGTAGACACTAGCTGTTGGGACTTTCACGATGGGGGTTGGTAGGCGTCCCTTAACACGAAACACTACTGGTTCCT